CTACTGAGAAAAACAGGGAAGAGACCTGTCAAAGGTCACAAAGGCAGTTGATAAAATAACTGGGTGTAGAGCCAAGTCTAGTCCCTGAGGACTGACCCCTGTCAAGCTCAGCCCACAGTGATCTCTGCCTTCTAAGAGGTGCACGGTAAGCCATGTCCCAAAGCACATTCTGGGACTCACGCCCCATTGGGCCCTTTTTCTATACTTACACAAGTGTTGATATTAAAAATCTTAAACAGGTATGTAATTTGACCACCTTTAATCAACTGTGTTTATTAAAACTAAAAAATTAGGGCTGGCCCCAAAGTTGAGAACCCCAAAATTAGGGCCAGAGGTTAATCCCTGTGCACACAGAGCTGGATGTCACACGGCTGACTGCAGTTCAAATATCGACCCCAGCAGCATAAAAAACACACCAGGTTGATGTGTGTGCATGTCCAAGATCCTGATGGTATGGGGAAAAAGTGTTAAAGGGATTGTGACGTGACCACAAGCCATGGGGAGGTGTTCTCTATCTCTTTCTTTCCTCTTCCCTCTTTGGTGGGTGTATGTACCCTCTGACAATAAGAAAAAAAATAAAATTAAGTGAACTTTAGAACATGGTTACAAGAGTGAAAGTGATGCAAACTCAAATTAATGGATAAGTAAAATGTAAAAAATAAGGTTTCAAGGATCATCAAAATTTTAATAAGTAAAAAATCAAGAATAGTACTGTTATTAAATAGAACATTTTTAAATCACTAAAATATTAAAGAACCTAACATTATTTTTTGAAAGGTACAAATAAAGAACAAATACAGTAAGACTATTAGATGAGAAACTAAAAGAATTAAAAAAAAAAAAAAAAGAAAATAGGTAGTAGGGATGCCTGATGGTTAAGACACATGGATCTCACACAGCTGACAGTCCAGTTCAAGTCCTGGGCCCAGCAGATTGAGAAATACACTGGGCACATGTGTGTGTGCCTGAAATTCTGAAAGGAGGGAGAGATGGAGGAGAAGGGATTATAGTGTGACCATGCCCCATGGAGTAGTACTTTCTCATCTTCTCTCTCTCTGTCCAGTGAATGTATGCAACCTCTGGCAATTTTCTTTTCTTTTTAAAAATAAAATAGATGGGCCAGCAGGTGGCATGGAGGCTAAAGTGATGATCCCACATGGCCAACTCTACAGTTTGAGTCCCAGACCCAGCGGCTTGAGAATCACACCAGGTGCACATGGGTGAGTGCCCTAAATCCCAGGAGAATGGAGAAGGGATTTCAGGCTGGCCAGCCATCCTCCCCCCGCCCTGCCCTCCAGGGTGATTTCTCACTTTCCTGTCTCTCTCTCTCTCTCTCTGGCAAGCACATATGTACATATACAGAAAACAAACAAACAAACAAAAAAAAAAAAAAAAAAAAAAAAGAAAATAGGTAGTAGGGATGCCTGATGGTTAAGACACATGGATCTCACACAGCTGACAGTCCAGTTCAAGTCCTGGGCCCAGCAGATTGAGAAATACACTGGGCACATGTGTGTGTGCCTGAAATTCTGAAAGGAGGGAGAGATGGAGGAGAAGGGATTATAGTGTGACCATGCCCCATGGAGTAGTACTTTCTCATCTTCTCTCTCTCTGTCCAGTGAATGTATGCAACCTCTGGCAATTTTCTTTTCTTTTTAAAAATAAAATAGATGGGCCAGCAGGTGGCATGGAGGCTAAAGTGATGATCCCACATGGCCAACTCTACAGTTTGAGTCCCAGACCCAGCGGCTTGAGAATCACACCAGGTGCACATGGGTGAGTGCCCTAAATCCCAGGAGAATGGAGAAGGGATTTCAGGCTGGCCAGCCATCCTCCCCCCGCCCTGCCCTCCAGGGTGATTTCTCACTTTCCTGTCTCTCTCTCTCTCTCTCTGGCAAGCACATATGTACATATACAGAAAACAAACAAACAAACAAACAAAAAAAAAAAAAAGAAAAGAAAAAAGAAAAATCATGCTGGGTATGTGTGCATGTGTACCCAACATTCTGAGAGGCAAATGGAAGAGAAAGGATTGTGGGATGGCCATCTCCACTTGGGGGTGATTTCTTACTCCCCTCCCTTCCTCCACTCCCCATCCCCATTTCTCTCTAGTAAGCACATGTGCCCTACAGCAAAAACTAAAAAGACAACAACAAAAAGAAAATAGGTAATGGGATAAATCTCTGAGCTGAAAATCCTGAAATGACAGCAAATTTGGCAAATATAGTTTAGGCAAAGAGCTGAGGGGCATAGATAGGAATCTTCCTTTTACTGTGTCCCTGGAGTTCTGGAATCTTCTGAAAAATCCAGTGTCCTGCCTAACTCTAGAAGGCAGTTTCATGCAGTTAGATATTTGGTGATGCCTCTGCTTTATATTTTTTCCCAATTGTCTCTGGAATGGTTGGTCTAGTCTCCTAACAAAATAATGACCACATTGTAGATTTGAATTAGGAAAGAACTCTCTCATCAGCCTGTGTAGGGGCTAATCCTAGGTCCATCTCCTACTAGCCTTATCCTGGCCATGCCTCAGCTGTCTCCTGAATAAAAAGAGCCTAACAAGAATGCCTAGCTCTTTGGGGTTGCTGTGAAGATTAAATGAGATAATTTCAGTCAAAGCACCTAGCACGATACCTAATACATGGTTGGTGCCTGATAAATTTTAACTGTTTCGATTAAATGAATAAGACCAAGAACTCCCTGTAGAGAGGAACCCCCACATGTTTTTGTTCACTACTGTGTACACCAAGCCCAGTGTGCAACACATAGTGGGATTCAAATATTTACTAAGTGAATTAATAGCCCAATTTTTCCTCATTTTCTTTTTTCTTGTCTTAATAAAACACACATACATGTTTAGTAACTATTAGGTCGTCAGGAAAACCATGCCATATTTTTCTATGTTCTTCTATTCGAAAGTGTGTCATAACTTTCCCAATGACCCAATAGTATGTGCCAGACATTCTATGAATGAAAATGAGTAAGACAACCAAAGACTAAGCGGGAATGTGACTTGGTCAGAAATGTCAGGTCACACTTATGGTAATGTGGAGAGTGGGTGAGAAGGCAACAAACTTGGGTCCAGATCAGTAATAATAATGATGATCTTGATCAAAATGCTGATTGTGGGCATACAAAGGAAAAAGAGATCAAAACATGGATTTATGGAGTTTCGTCATTGAGTCCCAGCGATGGATTAAATATGAGGAGGGAGAGAGCAGGCGACTCCTCTTTCAATGACCATACAACATACTTTCTATATAATGGGCATACTCCATGACATCCCCTTCATTTCTCCAAACTTTTACCTCCTCATTCTGCTCCTGTATTCTTCTTTGCATCAGCTGTCATTTTAAATATTTTAGTAGGTATAACATAGTTGTATTAAGTTAAATGGAGTAGAATAGAAAATAAACCAGTTCAAATGCAGAGAATTTTGGATTCCCATTTTTAAACAAAAGGAGAATCTACTTTTAAAAACAAGCAGAAGGAAGAAAAGAAGAAAAGGGTGGAGGAAAACAATGTAGAACGTAAAATAGCCTCTGAAATGTGCTTTTTATCCTAGAGATCACTGACAACACATCTCTAAGGCACCTGGATTAATAAATCAAATATATATTTGACTCAATTTCATTTTTCATTTGGCAATTATGGCTTGGAAACAAGAGGAAAAGTGGCAAAGAGATAAAGTCGGAGTGGCTTCCTCCCCTCTGGCATAGTGAAAAAAAGAAAAATATGCATGAGAAATAGAAAAATCTGTGAGGAAATATACAGAATTATCATGTGAGTTTTCAACTTACCTTTATTGATATAATTAAGTTTCTGCTATTTCTAAGTATTTGTGTAAACTTTACACTCAATATTACCTTTATATAAGTATACATTTTACATTACAGCAGATGCCTCACGTTAAGCAGTTTGAGCTGTATTCAATATGTTTAAATTGTGGCCCTCCATTGATTTGCTTCTATTTTCTTCCAAGATTGGGAGTGTCAAGGAAGAAATTTATTTTATAGAAAGAAAGAGCTAATTTCCTCTTGAAGGTATATAAATCTGTATCTTCATGGCTACATTCTTGAAATGTGTCCATGAAGAAGATCTCACATTTGAATATCCAACGCAAAAATTTTGTTTGACAGCAAGAGAGTGAGAGATTCTAAATTTTTAAATTGAATTTTTATGTTAAACCTACATCAGAATTAGATTACAAGGTAGGCAATAATTGACTTTTTAAATACTTATTTTGAATTATAGTCAGCTAGTGAAAATGGGGATCAAATTTGAGAATAAATACAAAGGGAGATCACCGATTGCAGACAACAAAAAAATTATCTGCTTATGATTTTATATTTTGATAACATACTAGTTAAGAATAAGGGCAAAGACATTTTTTATAAACCACAAAACAGATTTATCACACCAGGTTCTCATTGGAATCTTCTAAAGGCTGAACCTCAGGAAAAAAAATCTCAACTAGAAGGACAGAAGGAGATTCTAGAAAGAATAGTTAGCAATGAAATCAGTAAAAATGTGAAAATGTCTACACAGATATTGACTGTGTAAAATGTTAAAAATGATGGTGCCTAATTCAGGCTTATTAAAAAGTATGTAAATAAAATATTGAAAACAATACCTAACAACACAGCCCCAAAATATATAAAACAAATAAAAAAATACCATATGGATCTGTTCAGAATATAAATTGATGTATCATTTTCCTTGGATACATCATTCTACTTCTGTATTCTTATTATTTTTTTACTCTTAGCAGAAACTTTTGTTGTGACAGCAATTAGTATTAAATATATAACACTCTCACTAAATAGGTCTTATGATATGGAATCTATTCAAAAGTTATTCACCCATCAGTTCAAATGACTGGCCTCAGGAAGCAGGCAAAGAACAACCACGAAGAAGCTCTCATTCGACCCATCCTTGTTCCCAGTCTCTCTCTCCCTACTTTTCTTGCTCACAGCTGATGCCATCTGTAGGTCCAGTCTTACCCATTTTTCGAGGATCAAGTCAGACTCAAGCAGAAAGTAATGAACTTCTTTCGTCGACCCGCATTGTTATCCTCCCTGCTGGTAAAACTGGGCTTCCTCACTCCTCTCTGCCTTGTTCTTGCCAACTTCCCTTCAAAGGCCTTAATCTTGATCTCTGAATCACATTTTTATGAACTGACTGTTGGACTTTTGAGCAATCCTTCACCTCTGGCCGGTGTACTCCAGATGAGAACATCTCATTACATCACCTTCATGACTGCCTAATGAGTGAAAAGTTACAATCGAGTACTGTTCAGAAATAGTACTTGTTGAACAGAAATAGCTATCTCTGTCAGCACTGTAGGTGGGTCAGATTCCCTGATTCTGTCCTATTCTTATAAATGTGGCTCTGTTGCCAGGTGTCTTTGTCAGGTACCTGAGTAGACCCAATGCCCATGTTTCATAGAAGTTTCCCAAGCCCTCTACTCTAATTCCAGTCCATGGCTAATTTGTAACTCTTGCTTCCTCCATATCTATAATCTGATTCATCACTCAGTGAAGAGCCGTCCAAGTCTACTAAATTTCTAGATAGAACTATGGGCTATCTATCCCACACCAAGCCTAACCTGGAGATAACAAGATGAATATAAGCTCTCTTAATGCCAAGGCTCTGGACTGGAAGACCAGTACATATAAAAGCACATGTATAGTGACCCTAAATATAGACACATGCTATAACGTGAGAATTTTTTGATACTGCAAATGCGAAAGTGTATTAATCAGACTTCTTGAACTGCAAGCAACAGACAGAAGTTTGGCTAGCTTAAAAAAGAAATTTGTTGGCAGAGATTATCTAGCTCAGAATCAAAGAAATCACACCAGAGACCTCTGTAACGAGAACTAAATTCAGTCTCTTCAGGAGATACCAGTGGACTAACCATATAACCTTTTATTTTCTTCTGTTACTTTGTATAAGATTTACCTTATACTGAGATAGACATTTTAATGCACCTACTGGTTCACTGGGATAGGACGAGTACTTGGACAAGTCCACAGAAAGATACATGAAGTAGGGCAGGGACAGTTCCTAAGTGAGAGAGAGGTGCTCTGACTAGGAGAGGAGTAGCTATGGAAAACTCAGCAGACATCAATCAAAATACATCCTGGAAGGTACCTATTGATTGCAAGCACAGTGAATTTAGGCCAAAGGTTCCAAGGTCAGAATAACTGCAAGTAAGACTGTCCTGAAATATTTGTGCCAATGACATATTTGAATGCATTATGAGGCAGAGTACAAATGCCATGAATACAGTAAAAACAAAGTGAGGGGAGATTTGCTGGAGGGAACTAGGAAAAGTTTCAAAGAGGAATAAGTATTTAATATGGGGTATGTAAAATTTAAAAGGAGAGGAAAGGAGACTCCAGGGAAAGGGAATAACATTGACAAAAGAATTAAGATGGAAAAACAAGGAGGGTTTTATGAAGATATTTTTTAAGTCCTTAAAATCTTTAAAATGTATATTTTTTAAAGTTTAGGGTATGTATTTTTATGATATGAATACATAGAAAATGCCAGAAAGTTAGGTTGGGGCAGGGTTGTGGAAGAACACATTGAGGGATGATTCCTTCAGTGCAGTTAAGAGGTAATGTAACAGTAGAAGGATTGAATAGCTGAGCGAGCAATCAGAAAAACTGAATAAACAGGAAGCGTATTTCAGGAAAATCCATAGGCTACAGCAATAGACTTGAAGTTAGAGCAAGAGGTCAAACTGATGCTGGAGTTTCAGACCCAGGGAGAGCAGAAAAGCAGGAGAGAGATGTGTGAACATGCTGAGTCTGCAATGATGGTGGAGCATGAGGAAGAGAACTCAATTCTAAAGTCATCTGCCAAGAACTTGAACTGGACAATAGCAGTGATGTGGATGAAACGACTGAGCAAAGAAAAGAGAAGAGGGCCAAAGAGAATATTTCATCGAAGACTTACATTCATAGAGTTCGACATTAAAGAGACAGTGATAGAGGCAGAGGAAAAGCAGGAGAAAAAATGGAGAGCTCACTACTGAGCACCTCCATGGAAACCTAGGGAAGAGAGGATGACAAGGGAGGCTGAGTCAAAGATGTCACACAGTGCTAATGTGTAAGACCACTGGATGAGACTTTCAGGAGGTCGTTGGTGATTTCAGGGTAGTGTTGGAGACAGAAGCTAAATTGCAATGATCAGGGAAGGATGGAGAGAGAGTGTGGAAAATGCACAGGTAGAGGCTCAATGTCTGACAATGAAAAGAAAGAAAAAGCCAGGCTAGCACTCTGAGAATAAAAAAAGAGGAGGGAACTTTCTGGAATACAGAAGAACTGGTCTGCTATAGGTGTAGGTAAACATACAGGAGTGAAAGCAAGACTTAAAGATGGGTGAAAGGGAGAATGACTAGTGGGGTAAGAAAGGAGACCAAAGTCATTGTTCCAAGGGTTAGCTAGGTGGGGAGGAGGCTTAGAAGGCAGCAGGAGACATAGGAATGGAGGTTCAGAGTGACTGGAGATGAGAGGACTTGAGTTTTCCAGCTTTGATCTTCTCATAGGTTGAGGATGAAGCTGTCGGCTTGAATAAGACTGAAGGATCTGGAGTTTACGAAAAATAGTTATTTGAAACTACTGCTGTAAGTTACCAGCAAAAATAACAACTGCCCAGATGTGGAAAATAGTGTCAACTTTTAAGCTTTGGAATCCCCTGATTTCATGACAAAAATCATTGATTTTCCCACCTACTTGACAATCTATAGGCCAGAAGGGTGAGGTGTCTGTCAAACTCTATTCCTCCCTTTACTGGACTAACGTTATTGACTCCAAGTGTTCCAATCTAGGGATAATTGTGCAATGAGCTTAATTAGTTCATTGTTTACTGGTCAGAATATCATTGGACACTAACTTTCATATGTGGGGCTTGATAATACCTAGGGCTGATATAATTGTGTGTCCCTGTGTTCATGTTACTGAGCATACAAGACTTGGTGGACATCAGACAAGGGTCTTCATGACTCAGTCACCCCCATCATTTTATCACACACTAAACCCCCGCAGCTGCCACAATATTTTTGACCCGCATACTACTATATATTATTTTGACTGTTAGTCATACATTGTTCACTTTGTAAGGAAATCTGCTGTTGAAACACAGAAAATGGAAGGAACACATAAAAATGATCATTCTGCAAATAAGCCTCAAGGTGCTCCCACTAGACCCACAGAGAACACTCAGAGTCCTTACAGTGCACATCAGGATGTCTCAGTATTTTAACAACGTTTAAGTGTAAAACAGAGTTTGGTTTCCCAACTATTGAGAATAGGGCCTGTCAACAGATACAGCATACTATTTGTGGAGAAGTGCTTTAAATAATCAAAGCCTGAAACCGTCTCCCTCATCTTATAATTTAGAAAAAAAAAAAAAAAAACCTGAAGGGACCAGCAGATGGCATAGCAGTTACATTACTGGACATGGGCAACAGTGGTTCGAGTCCCAGACCTGGTGGCTTGAAACTTATACTGGGCACATGTGCATGTGTGCTCAAGATCTTGGGAGGAGAATGGAGGAGAAAATTGTGGTGTGGGCATCCTCCCTGGCAGGTGATTTCTCATTTTCCCTCTCACGGTGTCTGTCTCCGCCTCCCCAATCCCCAGCACACATAACCTAAGGTAAGATCTTTAAAAAAAAAAAAAAAAAAAGCAAGAAAAAAAACACAAAAATTATATATGTCTAAGAAGGATACCAGTTTTGTTTTGTTTATAAGTTCAAAAGAGGAATTTCAAGTAAGTTATGAAAACAATGGTTGATTCTAGAACCTGTAGTTAGACTCCAATCCATTTTAATGTATTTTTGGTCCCAAGGTCAAAAGGCAATATAAAGTCACATTAAAATGTATTTGTCCACAAATTACTCTTTATCATATAGAATAAGTAAATATAAATACAATAGTACATGTTCTTTGATTAAAATATTGTTGAAATTTTTATTATTTATTAAAATAATTGCTAGGCTATTAAAAATTAAATTTTGGCATAATAGTTTCTTACACTATTTCAGGAATACAGAAAAGTATAGACAGTAAAATAAAAAGCACCCATATTCTCATTGCCTAGCTTAAAATGTTATAATATCGATCTTAGTGAGGTCTATGTTTAGTTTAAAATCATTTTTAGTATTTGCTATGTAAAAATGATAACATATATTTTTAAATTCCTAAGGAGGTTTGCAAGATGTTATAAAAACAGTGGACAAGTCAGAAATCTCTGAGAAACTCCTGCCTTACAGTGTTTACTGCACTCAGAAAGTGCTTTTTAACTGTGGCCGAAGTGATTACACCAAATGTCTTGCTAGACCCACTCATTCATTTTATATCAAAGTTCAAGAAAAAGTAAAGATAGTAAATAAGGTATTGTTATTTCTTTTTCTTTTGGAGAGGTTTTTGCTATAGGGTGCGTGCACTCGTCAGAAAGACGAAGAGAGACAGAGAGACAGAAAGCAAGGAATCATCCCTCGGGGTGGAATGACCACACCGCAATCCCTTCTCCTCCGTTCTCCTCTTGGGATCTTGGGCATGCACGCACACGCACCTGGCATGAGTTTAAGCTACCGGGTCTGGGACTCAAACTGTGGTCAACTACATGGGAATTCAGAGACATAGCCATTACACCAAGTGCTGGTTCCCAGGTATTGTTATTTATTCTCAAGTGTGGAATAGATAGCACAAAAGGTTTCACCTGACATTCTCCGGACTGTGAGTGAGTCTATGTGCTGGGTACAGAGGGCAATGAGCTAGGTAAGAGGAAGTAGGAAGCCATTATTACATCAAGAGTCTTACCATTTCACACAAATTCTATGCCTTCATTTTTTTTAAGAGGTTTTTGTCCTAGGGTGTGTGTGTGCTCACCACGTCCGCACACCAGAGAGAGACAGAGACAGAGAGAGGGAAAGTGAGAAATCACTCCCTGGGGGGAAGGCCATACCACAATCCCTTCTCTTCCATTCTCCTCCTAGGATCTCGGGCACACATGCAAACGTGCCCGGCGTGAGTTTCAAGCCACTGGGTCTGGGACTCAAACTGTGGCCAGTCATGTGGGAGTCGGTGATGTAACTGCCATGTCATCTGCTGGCCCCTCTATGTCTTGATTTATTTAGTTCTTGTAACTGTCCCTTGAAGTAGGTATTATTTGGATTGTCATTT